GATAATGGCTTCACTCCTCGAGTCAAAATCTATGGCTCTTATGAAGCTGTCCTCGATGATCCCGAAGTCGACGCCGTCTATGTCCCCCTTCCGACTAGTCTTCACCTGCGCTGGGCCGTGCTTGCTGCAGAGAAGAAGAAGCACTTGCTCCTCGAGAAGCCTGTGGCTCTTAATGTAGCGGAGTTGGACAAGATACTCGAAGCGTGTGAGTCCAATGGAGTTCAGTTCATGGACGGTACCATGTGGATGCACAACCCTCGCACGGCCAAGATGAAGGAGTTTCTTTCCGATGCAGACCAGTTTGGGCAGCTCAAATCGGTATGCGAGTCAATTTCCATTTACAACGTTGTAATTCATCTGGTTGAATCTATGACTGAATGTGCTCGTGCGGGAAATTCGAAATATCCTAAATGCAATTTGAATAATTTGGTTTCCTACTCGAGGAGTTTTAATATTTTATGCTAAGCATCAATTTTGTGGTAATTTCTGAACGCCTCTGTTATTTCTTGTATAATGGATATGATACACTGCAGATCGGCCTGTTAGGAGCGCCACTAGTCTGAAATTTTTGTTTAGAAAAATTGGAGTCAAAATATGGGTTGTTAGCTTAATCAAGTTGAGAGATAGAAACTTCTCTAAAAATGACTTTGTTTAGCATAATAATTTCAATCACGATAACAGATGGCAGCGGGCAAAAGAATGAGTTGAGGTATGATTTCATATTTTGTGGAAAAAGAAGAGGAAGAACATGTGATTACTTTGTGAAATTCTGTATGGTCATTTAGAGCATTTGGAAGGAAACTAAACAAAAGGATTTGATAAGTTTGATGATGGGGTTGATTTATTACATTTATTTACTTATAATTATGTATTATTGGACGTTTTGATGTGATATTTACCTGGTTGTTCTGTTTTTGCAAGTGAGATTTCTTGTCTGCGTTCTTCCTTGTATCTAGATATCTATCTTTGATGATAGTTTGTTACATTTTTCGAAAAATCATATCAGTTTCAAAAAGTATTGTATTGTCATTACAAAATAGAAATACGCGGAAGCCAGTAGTGGACCGTCTGCTATCGGGACAGCCAGCCCAATCTTATAATTGAATTGTTTTTATTCTTGTTCTTTGGGGTTTTCCTTGCTGATTATTGAACTCACTGGATTTCCCTGAAGGTTAAAACCATTTCATCTTATGTGAGTTCAGTTCCTTTGGTCCTTTTGACAGGAATGGTTAACCACTTATCAAGTATAGGTAGTCTAGGAGGAAGAATGGAGGAAATTTGCATGACTAGTTAGTTAGTTCATATCGCGATAGGGCGGATATCTTTTGTACAGTAGAGGATGTGGGACCCATTCGAGCGAGGTAGTTAGAGTAAGCACAAAATAGATGATGCAAACAGTAGGGAGAGTCAAGAAATGCTTGTGGATAACTAAAAGTGTTATTTTGAAATGCTTGTGGATAGCTAAAAGTGTTATCCACTTTGAAATGCTTTTTTATGACATGCCTTTTGAAATGCTTGTGGATAACTAAAAGTGTTATTTAAAGATTTGTAGCGATGTTTTTGAAGAGTGTTTTTAACCAATTAAAAGTACTTTACAAAATTTTTTATTATTCAAAGTATTTTAAAAAATTATAAAATTAGATAAAAAGCACTTAAAAGTGCTTTTGTACAGAACATTTAATTAGTTTTCTTTTATAAGTGTTTGCAGTTTCACTTAAGATATCCAATATTCACCCTTACTTTCACAGGAATAAAGATTGTAAATAAGGATTTTTTTTTAGTGCAGCCTTTCCTACTTGGAAAATAGGTGTGCAGGAGCAGGAGTATATGGTCTGTCTTGTTTGAACAAGATGAAATGAAATGGGTTGCTCTTTACTTTTTATCGTCACAATCAGATTGGGCTTTGCTATTCCAAATTTGATGATAACTTCATATTTGTTATTATATATCCTAACATTGCAATTATATGCCGTGGTAGTGCTGAGTGCTGACATATGGTAAAGTGTTTATAAGGTTTCAGTGAATTAGTTTGAACTTTTAGGCTAAAAGTTTGTTAATTTAATTGCTGAGGAGAAGATTTAACTCTTGTGTTATTTACTACTTTTTGCACATTGTTTTCGTCGTACTTAAGCCAGTCAGTTATTAAAAGTTGAAATTTTCTTCTGGATTTGGATAATTCGTTGACAAATGGTTTGTCTATTTTATGTTCTGAATATCTTAGGTACACAGCATTTTTTCTTTTACTGCTGATGCTGACTTTTTGGCTAATGATATTCGTGTTAAATCCGACCTTGATGGCCTTGGTGCTTTGGGAGATGCCGGGTGGTATTGTATTCGTTCAATCCTTTTTGCTGCTGACTTCGAGCTGCCTAAAAGAGTGATTGCCTTGCCTAATCCCGTCTTGAATGAATCGGGGGTGATTTTGTCGTGTGGAGCTTCTCTCTATTGGGATGATGGGAAAGTAGCAACCTTCCATTGCTCTTTCTTGTCAAACTTGACCATGGATATGACTGCCATAGGAACAAATGGGGCATTACATGTTAATGATTTTATCATACCTTACGGAGAGAAGGAGGCCCATTTCACTACTGGTTCTAAATCTGGCTTCACCGAACTCGTGACTGGTTGGGAACCATTACCAAGCAAACACATCGTCCCAACCGATCTTCCTCAGGAGGCTCGCATGGTGAGAGAGTTTTCCCATTTGGTTAAAGAGATCAAAGCAAATGGCTCCAAACCTGAGAAAAAGTGGCCAACCATCTCTCGGAAGACTCAGCTCGTGGTCGATGCAGTGAAGGCCTCACTCGATCGAGGATCCGAACCCGTCGAAGTAGGGAAGTGATTCCACTGACCTTTTCATATCTTGTTGCTGTATGATGCTTTGTATTGAACTTCAAATTGTTGGTCTATGGGTGTGAAGTGGTTGGACCAAGCTTAGCTTCTATTGATATGTATGATGTTTAGGCTTGCATCAAGCTTGGGAAGCTCTGCATTCATCAAAGATTTACTGAAGTCTTGAAGAGCTAAAGACAATG